TTTTCAGAGAAATATATATATATTTAATTTTTAATAAGGAAGTTATAACAATTTCAAATTTGTTGTTCACCCCTTAAATAGAAATTTTAACGATAACCCCGAAACAGATCAATTTAATTTTGTCAATTTGTTTACATAAATCATATTTTTAATTCTTTTTGAGTTGAGAATATGAATTTTTTATAAATAAAAAATATAGTTTTTCTGAAATAAAAAATAAGGGTAGCAAGCTCCGAACACGGAATCACTTGCGAAATATTTGTTTTTTATAATAAGTAATTTCCATTTTGTTTCATTTCAAAATATTGATTAGAACCGCAGATATTTATAGTCCACAGTACAGGCCCCCCTTGGAAAGTTGATTACCACATACTTTATAACGCCTGAGGAGCTTCGTTTTGACGAGTCTACCACATTTTTCCTCTGCGACTTTTCTCGATTCCTCCGCTTTTCCACTCGGAAAAGTCCAAAAACATGGCAATTTCCCGGGGTCTTGAAAACTCAAGACCACATCTTTTATTTTTAGCTTAAGTAATTGGAAATTTTGTTGCAAATGCCGATTTAAATTTGTCCGACAGAAATTCCTCCGACATTGACGTGTCTACCGGTCGAAACATGCCAAAATAACAGGGTATTGAAAATCAATTACCACATAGGTAATTTTTAGTAAAATTAATTGTAAATAATTAATTCAGTCAAAAAGTATTGTTGTCCGACAAATTTCAAGCCGCGTTTTTTCAGTCCGACAGCTGGAAATCGGAATTTTCACAGGGTATGAAAAATCGATTACCACATGTCGGACAAAAATAACACACGATAGAAAAGTGTTTTTTATAAGCAAAAATTGTAATGTCCGACAAAAATATATCCGCAAATCGTCAGTCCGACAAAAAAAGATGAAAAAAATTTCGTAAAAAATGTGCACATGTATTTATAATTTCTAATAAGGTATTTTCATGTATTAAGCAAAATTCCATATAAATATACAATACAGGGTGTTTCAGAAAGACCTCCCGTAAATACAGGGGGTGAGGACGACAAAAAATAAGAATTTTTTGTCATATGAACTATATGTCTATCTCCTCTTCTCAAAGCTCAAGCTTACTTTGAGAAAAGTCACTTATTTTATAGTGTAATATTGTAAGAGTTTAATTAAAAGCCTTTTTTCTCGAAAATCGTCCACATTAGGAAGTTCTAACAAGAGTACATTATTTTTAGAAAATAAAATTGTACAATAGAAATTGGAGCCCGACTGGTAAAAAATCTAACCTTAAAAAAAATATAACTTAAATTGTAATAAGAATGTAGCATAACTAGCGCCTTCTATGAAATATACAAAAAATAATTAGACTAGCGTATTTGGCACCCTTAAAAACCTCGGACTACCAAATTTCATAAAAATATTTCGCACCATTTGGAAATTTTCATAAAAATGTTATTTAAAAAATTTTATTTTGTCTCTCTGTATCTCGAAAACAAGAGGAGATAGACATAGAGTTCATAAGACAAAAAATTCTAATTTTTTATCATACTATCACCCTTTTTATTTACGGGAGGTCTTTCTGAAACACCCTGTATATATTTTTCGTTTTATTCTTGTAATTGTAAATCTCTATATGCTCAATTTAGCCAAATAAATATCGAGAAAAGAATTAAACGATTTCAAAAAAGTATGTATGGTGTAAACAAATTATGCACAAAAGTTTTGGAATTTTCTTTTAGAAAAATAGGAAAATTTTTGTAAAGAAAAGTAATAAACGCGAATGAAAACTTGAAAGAGAAAAAAGGATTTTTATATCAAGTATAATATTAATTTATTTAGAAATATTGCATTATGCACTAAGATCGTATTAATTGCCTCAAAAATAACTTCATTTGTTCATACCTTTAAAATTTTTAAGCATAAAATAAGCAATATTATAATTATTTATTTGAAACAAATAATAATTTACATAATAATAAATTAATAACCATTTATAAATATGAATTTTTTGGAGTGAAAAAATTAAATTTCATCACGTTTATTGATTTATTGATTTTTTAATAATTTGCGGACATTAAATCGTCGGACACTTATATCACTATTTTGTACAGTAAATTTAAAAGTGGAAAAAATGAAAATTAGATATGTGGTAATCGATTTTTCATACCCCGTGAAAATTCCGATTTCCAGCTGTCGGACTGAAAAAACGCGGCTTGAAATTTGTCGGACAACAATACTTTTTGACTGAATTAATTATTTACAATTAATTTTACTAAAATTACCTATGTGGTAATTGATTTTCAATACCCTGTTATTTTGGCATGTTTCGACCGGTAGACACGTCAATGTCGGAGGAATTTCTGTCGGACAAATTTAAATCGGCATTTGCAACAACATTTCCAGTTACTTAAGCTAAAAATAAAACATGTGGTCTTGAGTTTTCAAGGCCCCGGGAAATTGCCATGTTTTTGGACTTTTCCGAGTGGAAAAGCGGAGGAATCGAGAAAAGTCGCAGAGGAAAAATGTGGTAGACTCATCAAAACGAAGCTCCTCAGGAGTTATAAAGTATGTGGTAATCAATTTTCCAGAGGGGGCCTGTACTGTGGACTATTAGAAAAAACTGTTTTGGGAGACGAACTTTGTGTGTATTTCACCCCGTAAATATCGACTTCGGTACCATGAGTGCGACAAAGCAAACGTGATTTTTTATCTTTGTGCTGGCAGTGTCGTAGGAGCTAAATAAAATTCAAAAGATAAAAAAGTAAATAAATTTGTATCTGTCTAAAAAACAAACGTAAAAAAAATTTCGAAGGCAACTTTCATTATTTTAAATAATCAATCGAATGGCATAGAAAAAATATTGTTTAAGTATTAAATTAACGATTAAAAATTTGACAAGAAACAGCAAAAGCAGCAACCAACTAAACATGAAACAATAATTTAATAAACGTCATAGAATAAGTTAAAAACGTACTTTCATTTACGAAAAGCTATCATCTGATGCGTGTTCAGGAATCTGTTGATTTCTTCTCTTGAAAAAAAAAACACGTAGTGGAATACTAGTATTTTTGTGACTAACTAACTTACAATAAATTGCAGTTTATTAACATATTAATAAAAATACGATAAGAACCAACCTTGTATATATAGGGTGATTCACAAACGGTGACCAAAAATGAAACCTCACATTCTTTAGTGAATTTTTAATGGTATTCTTTCCTGTAAAGTTTCTACCTAGGACGCTTCGTTAAAAAGATACAGGGTGTTAAAGTTAAAAAAATATTTTTATTTTTTTAATAATTTAAAAACTAGTAAGTGAAATAATTTGAAATTGGGCATATGTATTTATGTAAACATTGTCCAAAATCTGCCTTTCTGTAAAATTTAGATGCTTCAGTGGCATATTTGTCTAAATAAAATAGTACGCCACTGCTTTACGGCAACAATCATGATTTTTTCGGATTCGTCTTCTAATTTTCTACAAATTACTACTCTTTTATGTTTTTGGAAAAAGCCTGATTTTTGAGTAAAACTTAAAAACGAATTGAAAACACCGGAGCTCAACCCACTGGATTTCTTTTTGTGGGGTGCTGTTAAACTTCTGGTATACAGTGAACATATTAATTCAACTGAGCAGTTAGAAGAAAGAATAAATAATGCTTTTCATCAGATTCAAGCTACAATAAATTTCGAACAAATTACATTTTCGTCCAAATTACCAAAGATGTCGCGCCTGTGTTCATGGGAAGGGAGGTATTTTTGAGCATTTACTCAAATAAAATCAATAAAATGATGAATAATGTTATTAATTTCTTTATTCGATTAAATGACGGAATGATTAGTGTTTGTCATTTCATTTAAGTAAAAGTGTTTTCAGTTCGTTTTTAAGTTTTACTCGAAAATCAGGCTTTTTTCGAAAAACATAAGAGAGTAGTAATTTGTAGAAAATTGAAAGACGAATCCGAAAATATCATGATTATTACCATAAAGCAGTGGCTTACTATTTTATTTAGAAAAATATGCCACCGATACCCTGTATCCCCGCCACTGGAGCATCTAAATTTTAGGAGAAGGCCTCAGATTTTGGACAATGTTCATATAAATATATATGGCCAATTTCAAATTATTTCACTTACTAGCTTTTATTATTTTATTTTATTACTTAATATTAAAATTATTTAAAAAAATTTAAAATACTTTTTTAAGTTTAACACCCTGTCTCTTTTTAACGAAGCATCCTATATAAAAATTTTATATGAAAGACATCCCTTAAAATTCACCAAAGAATACGAAGTTTCATTTTTGGTTGCCGTTTGTGAATCACCCTGTATATACCAAGAAACCTTTTTCATAGTTTTTCTACATGTCCTGTCTTTGAAACTGAGAATAACCAATCGCAAATTTCTTTAGATTTTGGCAGAATTAATCTCAAATATGCAGCTTCGGCTCCTAATCAAATACTTTCTTGGACAAAACGCACCGTCCGTACAATATTTGTTGAGATAGAATTCCAAGAAATGAATAAGCCAATAAAGTTCTGTTATCGGAACTACTGTAACAATTTACTACGACAATGGCGTGCCTTGAAATTTTGCGCGTTATTTTCAGAGTATTAGAATATAAACACTTGGACTGGGAATTAAATTTCTTTCTTTGATTTTTCACCTCCAATGATTTATTTTAATAAGAAATTACACTGAAAATGCACAGGACGATACACCTACGAAGAAGTACTGCAAGTTGCTACGGTGAACGCCACGCCGTCAGTGTCTTTCTATCTCGGGTGTCGAATGCGGTTAATTCGAAGAATGTAACGCAGGGGTCTTCTTGAAATTCTCAACAAATATCGTATGGACTGTACCACACGTGAGAGTGAAATGCAACTATAAGCATGTGAAAATTTGTCGTTCTTGCGCAAGCGCTCGTGCGTCAAACATCTATCTCGCTTATAATGCTCTATTTCACTCTCTTGTAATATAATGTACTGTTGAATATTAACTGTAAACTATTGTTACAGCATAGCAATCGGAGAGGGCGCTCCGCAGTGGTACGAATACTTCCTGTGTGGCCTGAAGGGGATATTCGAGATCCTACCTAAGGATATTAGCGTGAGGGGAATGAAGATTGTGGTCAGCGGGACGATACCCCAAAGTGCTGGGCTCTCAAGCAGCAGCGCCCTCGTTAGCGCTGCCGCTCTGGCAACTTCTCACGCTCACAAAGTAAGTTAATTTACTCGCGATAATCGTATAAATGTAGGCTTTGGGGATTTGTACTTAAACCAACATTGTCCACTTTGACGTAAAGGAACCAATTCAATGTTATTCGTTCTTATTCGGGGTTTAGCAATTACCACCTAGATTAGTAAGGCCTCCGCGCTTCTAGCGTGACGTCACTATCATAAATGATGTAGATGTATGACTTGGTAAGGTATAAGTCGTTAACGATATGGATTTACGTCAGTGAAAATTCGGAGCTATTGTAGATATATACAGTGTGATTCAGAATTTATCCAAAAAAAAACATTTTGGATGTACAGGAGAATCTTGCAAATACAATTTTGTAAAGAAAAAGTCAAAGAGGGCAGTTCGAAAATGATTTAAAAATACACTTCTGCACGGCACTGGAAACTGGTCCACTGTAAAACTTGACTTCAGACAATGGGACCGGCATGGCGGTACCTAAAGTGTGATAAAAACGGAAAAAAACTTCGCAAGGAAAGAAATAAATAGAATTTTATAGCACCTATTTTATATCAGCAAATTCAAGTGCTTTTGCCGCTATAGTTATTATTAATTAATAAAATTGTGGTCTTAGTTAATAAAGTAATTTGACATACCTGATGTTACAACAACTGTTCGGAATTTTGTAAACACATTTGGGCTATACACAGGAAGTTGGTGAGAATCCAGAGACTTGCCTGCTTAGGTATTACAGGGGCAATGAGGACGACCCCAACTGCCGCGTTAGAGGTCCTTCTGGGGCTGCCGACCCTTCCTAGATGGATTATGAGGGAGGCGATGGCGGCATACCTTAGGATAAGGGACGCCGGCGGTTGGAGAGCTAAAGGACGCACTGAGGGCCATGCTGCCGTGGCCCTCGGGGCGGCATCCCAATATCCGCCATGAGGGTTACGGAAGCAGAGGACCGGCTTAGGTTAGGAAGGAAGTATGTCACCACTTTCCCCTCGAGAGAGCAGTGGAAGCAGGATGGTGATATGTTCTCCCCGGGATCCCTAGTGTGCTATACTGATGGATCTCGGGTAGAAGACGAGTTTTCAGGAGCAGGAATTTATCTGGAAGGCAGCGGCATCCAGGAAAGCTTTTCACTGGGTATGTATGCTACAGTCTTCCAGGCTGTGGTTTTTGCTATTTTGATGGTAGCAAGCAAGGAGGAGGTAAGGAATTGTGCAGAGGAGAAGATTTTTATCTGCTCCGACAGTCAGGCCGCGTTCAGAGCGGTTAGCTTCCCGAGGACTAGGTCTGCCCTTGTCCAAGAATGTGGAGACGCTCTAGAGTCATTGGCCAGACGAAAAGAAGTAGAGTTGGTTTGGGTCCCAGGCCATAGGGGCATCCCTGGTAACGAGAGGGCGGAACAATTAGCTCGTCTTGGGTCCAGGGGACCTGGACAGGGACCTGAACCAATCTTAGGTATCACACGAGGCAGCATTAATGGGGCCCTCAATAAGTGGGCCTACCAAACTTTAGGTCTGGATTGGAGGAGAAATAGAGGATGCAGGCAGGCCCATAGTTTTATACATGGACCTAGCAAATCCAAGACAAGATGGCTGCTGAGCCTCAGTCGAAGAGCCGTAAACCAAATGGTGGGGATTCTGACAGGCCACTGCAGACTTAGGAGGCATTTAAGCTTAATAGGAATTGAGGAGGACCCTCTATGCCCGACATGTGGCGAAGGGGAGGACACCCCTGTCCACCTTCTGGGACAGTGTGCAGCCTTTGGGAGAATAAGACATAAAGTCTTTGGTGCTGAAGAGCTGCAAGGGGTTGAGGTTAGAGACCTTCCATGGACCAAAATCCTGGCGTTCATTAGGGCGTCGGGTAGGTTCGAGGAGGGTCAGAGGCAGAGAGTGGTCAGGTGATGGGACGGCGGGGTAGGCAAAGCCCACTTGTGGCCTAATTGCCAGGCTGAGGCCGCCACTTTACTACTACTCACTGGGCTATACACGCAATCCATTTTTGACACTAACTACTAAAAAACTATTGTAAACACTATCGCAACGACGATTGTAAAATCGGAATTCAGTATTCGGAGTCGCTGAGGCCACGTGGCTCTTCACGCGTATTGCGAATGACGCTTGAGACAACAGTTGTCCAACGATGTAATGCTTGAAAGTACTACAACAATATTTTTTTTGTTGGAAACTGTAAGGATTTTACAATTTTTTTTACGATATTGATTCCATTTCTCATGCCGCATCTATTCCCAAATATTTTTGGATAAGTTGTTATTCGCCCTGTGTTTATTATGGGTGTTGACTAAAGAATGGGCCATACCTAGGTACTTTAAGGCTTCCTTGGATGAAAATAAGGTGATTTAAATCAACTTACTTTAGTTGCGTCTTGCTTCCTTAAGAAGTTATAGGCCCGAGAAAGTAGTTTTTTTATTTCACTTCTTTACGATAAATTATTTATTATTTTGGAATCAAATTTTGGAAAAACAGTTTTATTGTGTTTTAAACACGAATATCTGCTTGTTTTTTTTTGTTATAAATATACAAATACTTATACAGGGTATTTCAGGATTAAGTCGACAAACTTTAAGGAGATATTCCTCATAAAAAAAATAAGAAAAAAATCAAGTATAAATTTTTTCCAGACGCTTCATTTTCGAAATATAGGGCGTTAAAGATTTTTTAAATAACTTCTAAATGAAGAAGGCTATTTAAGACAATTTTGGCAAGACACACCTTCTTATAACATGCCATTTTTCCATAGAAGTAGAAGTCCCGCAAGCAACCAGTGGCGGAGTTATGGGGACTCAGACTCATTAAATTATAAAAAAAATTAATACGGTCCTACTGAAAATAAAAAATGATGCTGTTTTTAGATAGAACAGTTTGTTATTGACAAAAAATGTCATAACTCTTATAGTTTCATGGCAAAATTGATTTTTCGGAAGGGTGCTTCTGGATTCTGTCGATAAACTTTAGGAAGACGTTCCTCATAAAACCTAAAAAAATATAGTACCTATTAAAATTGGTCTTAGTCTCGAGTATGTGTGAGTCAAATAAGCCTTTTTGTCTCCCCTTCCCTTGGGTTTAACCAATATTATTAAAATTATTTAGGAGATGCTTCGTTTTTGAGATATATGGTGTTTTTTTAGAAAAAAATTATGATGATGAAAACAATAGAAATATTTAAGTACCTAACATCTAATGTGACTATGTCGTAATGCGACACCGTAACGACCCTTGCAATACTGCTAAATTTGTTCAGGCGGTTTGTAGTCACTTCATTTACTTCTGTTGTGTACTTTTAAATAAAATAAGATGTCAAACAATACATGAAAATTTAATTGTAAATTGAAAAAAACAAAAAAATACCAGTTAATATTATACCTAGACAAAGCGAAAAGTGAATCAAAAATGAAATGATTTAAAAAATATTTTGTTCAAAATGGGCGCCTCCGGACTGTAGACAAGCACGACATCTTCTAACTATGGAGGTAGTGGCCGATCGACACTGAATTGGAGTTAATTCTCGACACGCTTGGACTATTCGCTGTCTTAGATCTTCTAGAGTATCAACTGGCACCTCGTAGACTTTTTGTCTAACAGAACCCCAAACGAAATAATCCATCGGTGTCAAGTCCGGTCAACGTGGGATAATTAATGTTTAACCACTCCCTAGGACCTCTACCAAAATGGGCAGGACAGCCATCTCGTTGAAACCAACTGTTCATTCGAGTATTAAGCGGGAACATCTTCTAACAGATCTTGAAAACTATTTTCAAGGAACTTTGTAAACATGTCAGCATTTAACCGATGCGGAAGGAAGTAGGGACCAACTATAGTTTGTCCAACACACCCAACCATACGTTACATTGGAATTCATGCTGAAAACTATGTTACCTTACCGCTCGTGGATTCTCGTAGGAAATAAATCATGTATTATTCTTGCATTTAAGTTTAGATATTTATTACTTCGAAAAGAATAAATATTTTTTAGAGCAACTGTCTTCCGCCCACGAAATATAAACTGAAAGATAAAGTCCGAAATTATAAAAGTAATTGGTAATTTGTTATACGGATAAAAGAAATATATCAGGGCCCTGAACTTTTCTTACAGCCAAAGGCTATAATTTTTTCCTGCAAAGTTACCGGTTTGATATTAAAATTATTTTTAATGAGGTTCCTAATTTTAAAGCTAATATTTGTACTTAATTAATTACGAACTCGATGACGAAGGTTTTATTTTTATTTCTTATAAAATACAAATTAATAATATCTAATAAAAAACTTAAGGACCAATTACTGACTCTCATGTTCAAATTTTTTTTGAACATTCTTAGGTACTTAGAATGAAATTAAAACATTTTGAAAACTGTTTTATTTCCCAGGTATATTTTCCTCTATTCTTTACCGCATTCATATTTTTTAGTCATAAGAAGCTGTCAGTTATTACTTAATTAACATATTTGGTAAATGTTTAATGATTATTTCTTAATAAACAATAATGGTTATTTAGAAGTATTGATTTTTTTTATTTATATAACTTGTTTAGACTTATTGAATAAAAGTTTGTATGTATCGAAGACAGAAAAGTGCTATTAAAAAGCCAGCTCTGACTCGGACGCAAGAAATGCATCGGCATAACCAGGATACGCTTTGAAGTAACTTACGTGTACTAAAACAAAGGTGAAAGAGACAAAACGGGCAGAAATAAAAATGTACCCTGCAAGGCCGTCGCTTCTACTTGCTTGACTTGTACTTGTTGAACGTAGTAGGTACATTTTCACAATCTCTGAAATATATGAACTAAACACATATTTATCTGAATTTTTAAAGTTGTTGTTTAAAAATATATGATTTCAGTACTTGTATACCATATCGAAAATATGTTTTTGTAATAATCTATAAAAGGACTAACGTTAGAAAATTTACGAAGCATTTAAATGTTTGACCGGCGCATTCGCCATATTTTTAAAAATAATTATGAAACGTTTTAATAAACATTTTTTGATCTAACTCAAAAAGTTTTAA